TGATGCTTGTCATTGTTTGCAGCCTTGCTTGTTATATACACAGCTTCCAGTCAAGCAGCTTCAGTCAAGGAGATCTCAAGTCCGGATGCTTTGACTACATTGCACAATGGAATCTCAAGAGATGAACTCAAGATGAAAGAGACCGGACCAGATTATGATTCTGACAACTACCTTAATGGTATAACAATTGGGACCATTGTCACCAGCCAAGTAAGTTAAGGTGGACCGCACTCTGAAAAGAGTTGCAACAAAAATGGCAGGCAACATCACTCCCCAATAAGCTCAGTCAAGCCAGAAGATTTCCCTTACCATTTCCTCTCTTACCTTGCCAAGCTTGTTCCCATTTTTACTTTCTGTTATCCAAAAATTGTTAGAAAATCATAAAAAAATATTTCTGACATACCAAGACAGTCGGTCAGTTCAGAAAAATAAAGCTCAATGAGATGATTGGAGAGTGAGGGATTGATCAGCAACAGAGTCAAGATTTTATATTTTTTGAAGAGCAGCTGAGACGCTGGGCTCCAACCTTTCCCTGGTGATCCAATCCTGGCAAACAGCTCTGACGTCACTTGCAAGCATTGTATTGTGTGGGTGTTAGATGGAGGCTGGTCTGGGGCTCATATTGTGGGGACACTGGTTGTGCCCTGTTTGATCTGAATATTCTATCTCCGCTTTTATGATGTAAATGTTTCAACCATTATGATCTAGTTTCCTTGTTGCTATCAGCAGTAGCAAGTGAAACACACGGAGAGAAGGCTAACCTACTTAGTGTCCAATTCTTCACTGTGATCAAATCCTGCAACACCATGCTGCATTTTTTTGCATCACTTCCTCAGATTTTTATCATGTTGAATTTGAAGATGTAGGCTGGTCTGTGTCTCACATTGTGCAGAAGCCAACTCTGACTGTGTTGGATCTAAGTATTTGCTCTCCGCTTTTATCAGGTAGATGTTTTGTTGATCTGAATATTTGCTCTCCACTTTTATCACATAAATGTTTTGTTGATCTGAATATTTGCTCTCCGCTTTTATTATGTAAATGTTTTGTTGATATGAATATTTTCTCTCCGCTTTTATCACGTAAATGTTTCCTTGATCTGAATATTTGCTTTCCGCTTTTATCACATGAATGTTTTGACAATGATGATCTCATTTCATTCTTGCCAACAGTGAAACACACAGAGACAAGGCTGACCTATGTTTGCCAAATTCCTCATTATTATCAAATCCCCCAACATAATTCTGTGTTCTTTTGTTGCACCTCCTTAGAATCTTATCATGATACATTTCAAGATGTAGGCTGTTCAGAGTGTCATATTGCACAGAAGCCCACTGTCACCATGTTGGATTTGAATATTTGCTCTCCGCTTGTATCACATAATTTTTTCAACAGTCTGATTTCCTTTGCATGGCGGCTTAAGTCGTGGTGGCCCACAGGTGGAACAGACAAAGAGAAGAGATTGGCTGAGGTGCTAGCAACATTCAATGTGATTGAATTCTGGAACACGGTACTGTGCTTGCTGACATCACCTCTGGTGGGGTTTCCCCACATCCTTCAGTTGCTTGCTCTCCACTTTCTAAATGCTTTGTCAATTATGAGCTCAATGGCGTCTCAGCAGTGCCAGATGGAACAGATAGGGAGAATTGGGGATGCTGGTTGTGCCCTGTTTGATCTGAATATTCTATCTCCGCTTTTATCACATAACATTTTCAGCAATTATGATCTCCTCTTCTTTTTGCTATCAGCAGTAGCAAGTGAAACACATGAAGAGAAGGCCAACCTGCTCAGTGTCCAATTCTTCACTGTGATTAGATCCTGCAACACAATTCTGTGTTTGTTTGCATCACTTCCTCAGATTTTTATCATGTTGAAGTTAAAGATGTATGGTCTGAGTCTTGCATTGTGCGGAAGCCAACTCTGACTGTGTTGGATCTAAGTATTTGATCCCCACTTTTATCACATGAATGTTTGGTTGATATGAACATTTGCTTTCCACTTTTATCACATAAATGTTCTGAAAATGAGATCACACTTCCCTGAATTCTCCAAAAAAGATTGTTGCTCTTTCAGATTCCTTCAATTGACAATTTTGGTAGTGCTCAGGTGATAAGGCTGTTTTGCTCAAATTTTTCTCTACATTGCTAGAGAATGCCCATTTCCATCTGGGATGATCATTTTTTGTGCTCAGTTTCTCAGATTAGTAGTCAAAATCAGTTCATGAGTCACTGCATACTCAGGACAGATCAGCACCTTGTCCAAAATCCCAGATCAGCAGGCTCAAGGCATGCAGCTGAGGATCAGCTGAGCAGATGGGCCATTCCTCCCCAAGGCTTCTTTGCCAAGGCCTGAGGAAGGCCTAGTTCATCTGCTCATTTCCTGTTTTGCTTGAATTCTGCTGTATATTGCTGGAGAATCCTCAGTTCCATCTTAGATGAGCATTCTGTGAGCTCAGTCTCTCAGATGAGTACTCAGAACCAGTTCATGTGTCACTGTATACTCAGAAAAGCTCAACACATTGTCCAAAAACCCAGTTCAGCAGGCCTCAAGGCATGCCGCTGGGGATCAGCTGAGATGCTGAGATGAAGTGAGCCAATGAGCCAGCCTTCCCTTAGGCTTCTTTGTTGAGGAATAATGCCTGAGGAAGGCCTAGTTAATCTGCTCAGTTCCTGTTTATCATGTAATCAGCTCACAAGCGGGAAGAAAACAGGTCAGAGGCAAACCCTTGGATGGATCTCATTCCAGGTTTCTATCTGAGGTATTGGTATGTGCTGAGAGACACCTCAGATCAAAACTTTGGAAAGATCCTGGCCAAGGTTTTAGATCTGAGTATACCTAAGATTTTTCAATGTGAGGTAGAAATGTTGGTGGTGACACACAATGGGATTTGCCTCATGTGGAGATGATTACCCATGGAGTTTGCCACTTTTTGGAAATACAGGTAACAACAGGGTGAGGTATGTTATGTCAATGAACAATTTTGAGAAACACAGTCTCAAATTGATGGGCAGAGCCAAGTTAGGGAATCTCAAGAACCAATAAAGGACGTCTAGTTTACACCAGAGAGCCATAGAATACTGGTCCATTCAACTCCATATAAGGGCATATATGGGCATAATCCTCTTGACGCTTATATTGTTGTTGCCGCCAAAATAGGTAGGTGTCAGGCCCATGTAGAGAGAGGGCATAAAAATTGCTCTGCCTCTTGTATGCCCTTACAGAGAGACAACTGTAAGAGCAAAGTGTTTGAAATTGTTTTGGCAAATACTAGACTGACACTTTATGCCATTGGTGATGATGATTGAAGCTTAAGAATAGACTGGAGACGAGTGTGGCACGACTTTTGGTCTAGGTTTTATAAATAGACTACAGTTCCAAGCCTGTCGTTGTTGATTAATCAGTCACTGCCTTGTTTGTGTTGTTGCTTGGAGTGGTTGGGAGACTTGCTCAGATACCAGTTAGTATGAAAAATGCATAGGATACAGGCAGAGAAGCGTAAGTATTTTTGTCAGTTAAACTGAAGGCTTTGGATAAGAGAGACATGGCCCTCCAAAAGCCACACGGTGAACTCCGTTCTTGTCCTAAGGCGTAAACCAACACCTCATCCAGAATCCACGCAAAGGGATGCCTTCATTGTACACCGTTGATGCCTAGTTTTAAACTTCGCAATGGCTTTAACATTTCCAGTCTCTTATGAGTCCAATGTTCATGCCATTTACAATGTACACCCAATTATTCTACAGCGTAGTTCCAAATGGAAGACCCAAAAATCGTTATAGAGTACATTTGTTGATCGATTCAAGATATAAGTTCTAGCCACTGATCACCATTCAAACTCTTTGCTTTTTGCAGTACCGGTATACCTCTTCCTTGAAACCTAGGAACGAGACAAAAACCAAGATCAGAATCAGTGCCACGGTGTTTTCTGGCTTCCGTCCATCTGGGCGGGTACATCTCAGGAATCACGTGACTCACTCCATCAAGCCATTTGACCGTCTCCAAAACCTCTGTGCCTGCCTCCACACCCGCTGCAGTCGATGCTTTAACCCTCTCGTACATTCTCCCACAGTCCAAGGAGTCACACTCAACTGACTCTAAAGCCGGTGTGTTCGAGCAAATCCTACAAGCTCCTTCAATATCTCTCAACTTCTTTTCTCGTGCTCGTGCGCGAGCCATCAAAGTATATGCAACCCCATCAGGCTGCTCACAGCATGCTTGACATAATAAGATTCCTCGACTCGCTATTTGAAAGATGTTAGATTTTAGCCAGATCATCTCGACAAAAGAAGCCTGTATATGATGGTTCGCTTACCTTCGCCATTATCAACCATTTCTTCCTCACAGTTCATACAACGATCACTTCTGAAATGCTCATCGACCATCACGCCTACGCGAGCCTGAACCTGAACCTGAACCTGAACTTGTGCAGTTTCATTGGCCACATCTGAAGCTTCTTTTGCATCTCCGGTCGGGCCGGCTTTTATTGGCTTAAATATCCGAACAAATTTCGGCATGGAAGCATACCAACTGGCAATATCGACTCCAATCAGATTGAAGATCCTAGCCAAAGATGGAATAAACACTCGTGTGATATAATACTCTGAGTCAAGTGCCAAAATCCTACCATAGCGCGATGCGGTTACACTTATCAGTCTCCTCTAGGCTGGCTAGAATTTAAATAATTAAGGCATGAGAACTGACGGGTTTTGTAAGACGACTTCAGGCGGAACAGCTCTGTCGCGAAGACGAGACTGAGGAGCGCCTTTGACAATCACATAGGGCACTCGTTCAGCATAAGCTGGTTCAGTGCGAGGGTCGGAAGCCATCTTGCGCGCCGCAATGAGCGCACCGGGTGGTGGCGGTACATTTTCACTGCACAACGCCCAAAAGAATCAATCGTTACGTCCTTGGTTTGATGACGCGCATCTTCCGCACGGAAAGTAGAACATCACCTGTATGTTCCCAACTTGACTTCTTTTGCAAATGTAAAGTCTTGGATTGACACTTTACCTAGCAACAGTCTTTGCCATTGACGATAAAGGTAGGCCTTGATATCCGATAGATCTTGCGTTCTGAAAAGTTTCCTGTTATAGCAATGATTGTCGGTGGGCACGCAATTATTCAGCTGAGACGACGAGCCTGAGAACAGAACAGAAGCTATATCATACTCACTTGAGGCAAGTTTCTTGAATTTTCTGTAAGGCAGGAATCCCATCTCGTCGGATGACTTCGATCCCCTTTGCTTCGAAATGAGGTTCGGCGTCTGCCAAAGATTCATACTTTGCTCCCACGTACCGCTTCTTTGCCATCAGCACACATGGTAAATAGACCTGTTTGATTGTAGATGATCGTCAGTTTCAGCGACATGTGCAAACATCCACACATATAGACATACTTTTTCAAACTTTAACTTCACTGGTGCAGGATTTCGTTTTGTTACTGCCTCTGCCATTTCTTTTCCGATCCTAAATGCATCTTCCTTTGTGCGACCAGGTAAATAGACGAACAAGCTATCAGTATCGCCATACACGACCTTGGCATCCCATTCCTTCACACTGTGGATAAATTCCATGGACTGGATGCAGGAAAGAAAACAAGTCAATCGCATGTGTTTCGGCGAAAGTTCACGTCCATCACACATCAGTGTCATCCGAGGGCGTACCTTTTCCAATGTTTCTCGACCTGTTTGTACGATCGCATCCGCAATCTCAACACAAGGCATCCTTCCGGAAAAAGATGCACTGGTATAACCGTAGGTGACATTGGCGATGAATTTTAATCCCAATTGTCTCGCGTTCATCATCTTACACATTCCCTACCAATAGGGTTGGTTCCACATGTGAGGATCAACCAAAAGCAAAAGTCATAAAGGTGCAAAGGATAAACTGCTTACCTTGTCATCCTTGACAGCCTTCATGCTTTCTTTGATCATCACTCTTGTGTCTAAAAACTCGCTCAACATCTTACTCAACAAACTTTTCCTAACTTGAGGTTTTACAAACATCAAACCATTCGGGGAGACTACATGTTCGAAACCCCTTAGATTTCTGTTCAACTCCATTTCAAGACTTGGAAAACGCATGCTGACTAACCTATCAGATGATCTTTCAACAAGCTCAATAATCCGTCCGGCAAATCCAAAGCGCTAGTCCCAAATTTACTGGTACCTTTAAACGTTCCAACTCTTCCAAGACAAGTTGAATAACTACCCACCAATAGAATCAGCATCATCACGACTACAAGTCACGATGATCAATGAGCTTACCAATAATTATACGCAATCATGATTGAAGGATATAAACTTTGAAAATCAAGAACAATCAAAGGACTTTTGTAAAACGCAGATTGAGGTTCCATAATCAATGGGATACATTCTGCTGCGTTTTGTTGGCCGACCTAGAAAATTTGACATGGTATCTTCGATCAGTTCACATCATCTCCATACCAATCTATTTATAGCAGATCCCGAACCTCTTCTCGACTTGGTGACGGTAATAAATAATTCTCCGGTTTAGCAATCCTGAATAAGACTGATTCAACTTTGAATTGTGACCCTCTGGATATAGCTGAGAAAAAATCAACCCCCAGTACCCTCGAAATTTCACTGTGTTTCAAATGAGATAATCAAAATGGAACAAAATGGATAATTGTCAAAAGTTGCAAGTGATGTGAGATAGGGAAAATAATGTACGCATTACGTGAAATGATTTCAGTCTCATCCATTAAATGTATGTCCAGTTCGACTCTATCCATATAATACAACAGAACTCTCCTTTGTCGTTCAATTGATCCAGATCTCCACCACTTGCCTAACGTCGCAAATGAATAATGTGGAAGGCTAAGAAGATTTGAGACTCAGATATCTCCTCAGTTATCGTAGATGCAACAAAGAACTGACCGTTTGCGTAGGATATGAAAAACCAAGTTCTCAAATGTATATTGTGTGACTGCTAATTCAGATCGAATGATCCTCCAGATCGATAGTACATGACGACCACTAACTCTGATTGAAGATCCATGGGTATAACCCCATTTATCATCCTTGCCCGCAAATCTACCATGAGACTCGTGTTTGACTCTTCCAAACTCATGTACAACATCAAAGTCTTTGGTTCATTTGGATAAATCAGCTTTCTCTTGATTGGTGAAATTGACAGAGAGCGAAAAATCGGACCTAATTCACGACCTCTTCCCATCACATAGCCCCAAGACCAACTCTCTAATTCAAAACCGGTCAAAACCTCAGGATCCCAATCTCTGACCTTGTCGATTAGTAAATTCATCAATTCAATTTCGGTATCTACAACTTCAATCAAACAATCATTCAATGCGTATTTGACTTTCTGACCGCCGTGGTTTCCTCCTTTCACAACGATCATTCCCACATACGTTCCTGGTCTCCTTCCATTTCCTCTTTCAACCCTCCTTGATGATTGTAAACAATAGAAGACTACTTCGATTGGATCTTGGGCTGGATCTGGTCTCAGATCCGCTCGATTCTTTGCTATCGGGGGGATGTGATCAATTCTCTGAATACCTGTCATGGTCAAGCTAAAGTACTAACCATGTACTTCGACTGCCAAGACATCCATTTGTTGGGATTCTGGGTCTTCATTTTCCAACTTCTTCTTGATGGGTGTATATTTATAACCTTCATTCTTTTGAGTAGGGCCTTCAATCTGTCAAAAAAGACAACCCCCAGAAAAAGTTCTTAGTTTCTGTATTCAACCGACCGTAAAAGTGACTAGCCAGAGTCGGTATTTCTCCAAGGAAACAGACGTACCTGAGAGATCATCAAATAATTTTCGGGTCTTTTGGATTCTGTTTCAAATATGAACAAATCACTCCAAGTCAGTTCAAATTCTAGAATCTTGGCAAAAATCAAACGAATTACAGACTCTCTAAGATCTGATGTTGTCTCAGCTCCGAGATCCTAGGAGGACCAATCGCGAATTCCCAGCGCGTGATCCTAGCCTTCCTTTCCCCAGACCCGTAAACACTCTCACCTGCACCCATGAAGCTCAAGTCAAGTTGATGAGTAAATTCAGGCAAATAACGAAGGGTAGATCCTAAAATTGTGTACAATCTGCCGCCGTATTCGCGTTTACGATTCGGGACATCGTTTGGGTCTGAATAGAATGGATCTTTATACACTTTTGCTGGTATCAATGTCCGAAGCAACTCCTTTGAAGCTGGAGGTGTTATTGAGTATTGATACCAAGACTTTGATGGATTCTTTGGTGCAATAGGGGTTGTGAGCACGATGCTAAGGCGTTTAGATGACCGTGCCCGACGCGCTGAATCCATAGAAAAATCGTTTGATGAAGAGATAGGTGTTGTGTGGGCAGGTAGTTGTTGCGGTTGTTGTTGTTGTTGTTGCGGCTGCGAATTAGGCTGAGTAGAGGGTGTGAGTGCGAAGTCACTGAAGGTAAGATCTTCCAACAAAGTTTCATCAAATGAAGGTTTGTCAATCTGAGGAATGGAAGCGTGGGAATGACGTTTGGAGTTGATGAGTGGTTCAGGATACGGAGGGTGTGATGGTTTTTCTGTCGGCTTGGAAGAAGTTTGTGGGGCAACACGGGCAGGCGAAAAGCCTTGGCGGCTGATAAATTTCATCATTTTTCCTTCCTTGGGTTGCGCAAATCCATCATCCTGTTCTCTCGTCGTGCGCTTACGCATCTCGTTCGTATTGATAGGCAGCTCTTGGCCTCGCGTGGGAGTGGTATGATCCTTGGGGTTTGAGTCGGATCTCGAGGCATTGAGCTTTTGAGGTGAAAAGTGTTCAATTAAAGTATTTTGACGCTTGGAAGGAGTCTTTATGGTTGCGACAGCTGATGATTTACTGGGGCTGAATAAATCGGTTCCGGACATTCCCGCTGTACCTCTTGATAAAGAAATAATATGGCTCAATAGCTAGGAATTTTACGTACATTCAATACTCAACAGGATAGCAATAATAACTCACGGGTAGGTAAACTTTAATTTGCGAGGTGTGATCATCCGTCTAGATGCGGGACTCGCAGTCCCACTTCGACTGACGGCTGGACCCTTTGTCTTCCGAGGAGTTGTGTTCAGTCCTCTAGATTCAGAGCGACCTTGTGCTATGGCATGGTCTGCAACAGCTTCAACATCCCATCCGTGCTCGAGTGGTCCATCAAGCTCATCGAGCGCATCCCAATCCACGTCTGGTAGATCTACATCTTCGTACTCTTTGAGCTCAATATTCATAGCCGCGTCGTTATCTTCGTCTGGTGCATCATCCTTGTAGTCTTGCATTTGTGATTGCAATATGGAAACATCTATTGATTCACACACTTCTTCCTCTTCAACACGAGAAGGATCATTTATCTCGGCCTTTTCTAGAGGACCGGCTCGGTCACCTTGCTCTCCAGCCAAGCGACTGATCCCGATGCCATTGATCGCCCATACACCGAAAGGATTCTCGTTGGTTTCATCTCGAATCCACGTAGACATGTGAATTGCTTCTACAGCTTGAAAAGTGGTTGGGATCATATTTGATAAATAAGATTGCGGTTTGACAAATGATTCAAATCGACTTTCACCGCGTTTACGAAGCTCTTGATCGACGAGAGCTTTGATCTGCTGTCGATAATCAGGTTCCATGGCCCACTCGGGTTGTTCACCCTTACCAAAGATCCTTTGGCTCGAGGGGCCAGACTCGCTTACTTCGTGGGGTCCAGTCATACCTCGTGCTTGTCTTCTCCTCCGTTCATCTTCCCAGAGTTCCTTGACGCTGTGAACAAGTTTTTCATCTCCAAAAGCGGGATTACCGAGTAATTCATGAAAATCGTCGTGTAAAGCTCGTTCTTGAACAATGTGCCGGTTCATGATCGCCGAGACATGACAATCGATTTCCAAGGTACAGTGAGAGGTTTTAGTTAAGCTTCGTGGACCCAATAAGTCAGTCGGCACGTTGCCGGCTGAAAAGAGACCCGCGACGTTTGAATTGGGAGACTGGGGTAGGTCATCTTTCGAGATGCGTAAATGAGACGGGGATGGTAATTATATCTTTCAACTTTTCCGCATTTTCATTGTTTTATAAGATATGGTAGAAGTGCATACCAGGGAGTGGTAGGCGAAAGCTGCACTCGGATAATTCTATCATCCCACATCCGTATAAATTGTGATCCAGCATAAATTGAAGATGGAATGGGATATGTTCCTCAAAAACCTTGAATCCGGCACGGGCTGATGAACCTCTTTGATTGTTCGAAGTCTGATACGGTGAGTGAGATGATGGATCGATAACTTTGCCACTTCGGAGTAAATCTGCCATCCGCTTTTTGAATCGCGCTTGAAGACAATATATCTTGAGGAAGTAACGATATCCGACGTGAAATCCGTAGAAGGGAACACCCTTACAGAGTGCTATGTATGCTACATATTGATGTCGCGAGCGATCTGCTGACTTGTTTGAGTTGACTTGACCGAGTGAGGCAGCTGTGGCGTAATTGAGGGCATGACCAAGCCTACGAATGAATCGATGCACTATACGATATCCAAATGATGGGAGTTAAGCATCCAGTCAAATGCAGAACGAGATCATAGTGTCAATGACAAAAGCTGACCGGTGTCTGGATCGATTGGACCATCGTATTGAACGTAAAAATATGACATGGCACCATGCACGTGAGCCAAGACGCGTTGACCGGCAGGAGTGGCGCCAAAGATTCTGATGACCGGGACCTTGTTAAGCTGACGTCCCGCTGGCAAGAATGGAGATGTTCGAAGAGCGTGAGACGAGCAATCATCTGGAGATAGACTAACGGCATCAAGTTGAGTAAGTCGAAATCGAATCAACGGTTTGGATTGATTGATTGAGTCTTGTACGATCATGTTGATGAAGGGGCTGAGTAAATCAAAACCTCAAATTTTTACATTCATCATCAAGACTGCTTATGTACCATGACCTCATCGAGCCACAAGTTCAACTCTATACCTTATTTGTCAATACTCTTCGTTCCTTCGCACAATTCGCATTTATCATCACACACAGATATATTGTTCATCCCACCGCAAATCACCAATATTTACATCAAGTCAATTTTTGGTTATGAACTTCAAGTTCCATCTTTGACGAAACTCCAGGAAAGATCACTCTGCGAAGAGATTCTCATGCGATCATTATTACAGATCTATGTCATCTGACCACTAATGAGACATGCTCTCGTCTCGAGAGAATGGCTGCATTCGATACAATGTGCTTCCATCAATATTAGCTGTAGAGCACTTCGATCAAGCCCTTCTGCCAGTGGGCTGGTGTTCGAACTTCTTGTCAGGAGCGAGGGGCCTCTCCATTGGCCTAGCCCAGTATGGATATCAATCAATCTGATATCCTATAGCGCTTTCTGCCGTTTGGTCTCATGGCTATCAGATCTTCAGTGGTCGAGAATTATCAAGAGATCAAATCATTTAGCCCAGCTCAACTCCTCATCGAAAGCCGCAAACCGAAGTTGAGGATCCTAACAAAGAATTGAGAATGATTGACCCAGTCTTAATGCATCTCCAAGATTTGCATGTCTCGTGATATATTCAGTGAGTAGGACTAAGGTAAGCTCAAACTGGTCCAGGTCTTCGTCTTCATCATGACTGATCCACCCACCCATTCGGCTTCCCTAGTATATATATGCGTGTATTTCGGAGCCTTTGGGGTTACTTTGTGTTCATCCAGAATTAGTATCACGCAACTTTCCAAACACACAAGTTCACAAACCCATTCCACAATCTCGTTACCAGTTTTATTCTTTCACTTCAATCCATCTATATACCATGTTACTTCCATTTGTCACAGTTTCTCTCCTCAGTGGTGAGTCATTCTTCTTACCCGGCGCGGATCTTTTCTCACTATTGTTGACGTTGGATGGCTTTCCCGTGATCTGTAGCTACCATTATTATTGCAGCTCCTCAAGCTACTTCATCACTCTCAAACATCCAGCAGCGGAGGTGAGTCAATGAGCCAAACAAAGACCTGCGCGATGTACAAACCGAATATTTCCAATAAGACCCTCTGACCAAACTTCATCATACCACAGCTCCCCAAACCTTGATGCCATGAACGATGGATCATCTTCACCCAACTCCACCAGCAATAACACTTCCACGCGCCAATCCAACTCTACCCAAACACAAACATCCGGTAATAGTACCAGCCTCAGCACGGCCATATATGGCCACCTTAAAACTTGTCATGATGGAATACAGACTCACAGTACTACCATAGCGACTCATTGTGGTGGAGCAAATAACGAAAACGCACAAGATTCTGGATCCAGCATCTTACTCGAAATCCAAGCTATCCTGATCCTCACGATGACTTGCGCTATAAACATCCAGGCCTCTGTTGCTCAACATGCTGCTTCTTCTGGTATTGCAAGACTATTTGGTGGTGGTGGCGGTTCTTCTGGAAGCGCTTCTGGAAGTGGATCATTCAGCTTTGTGAGCTCTCTTCTTGATTGACGACACGCGTCGATCAAATACTGACGTAGACTCTCTCAGTCCGACTGCGCCACCATGTTCTTTACCCTCATCAAGTTGTTACAGGGATGTTACACTCAAGTTGCAGGCGTATCTTACAAGTTTCCCGCAATCCGGGTGCTATGTGCTGGTCAGTCTCTTTTATTCTCAACTATGACTTTAACACACAATTCTCATCATCAGTCCTCTTGCTTTCACAGACTCCTTAGCACAATTATCAACTTGCCTATCACAAATCGCCCATGCTTGCGGACTTGCCATGCCAGGATTCGCAAATCAAGTTAACGACCTCTGTGCAGATCAATCTCCACTCTTTATGCAGACTGGATTTGGATTTTCTCAATTCATGAAAATGATGAAACGTTAAAAAAGACTATGCATCACTTCTTGTTTTATGTATTTCAATTCTCTACGGATCACATTTTGTACGTTGTCAGAACTCTGTGTCTTTCTCTTGTTCATTTCTACATTTGAAATTCCAGTTATACCTCCAATAAGCGCACAATCATCGCCTTGTTAAGCGTATGTGCCACTCATGCTTTGTTTTGCGTGCTTTGCGTACTTGCCGGAGGTTTGGTCAACGATGTCTCACTTCCTACATGAAATCGAAGTGACTAATCACCTTGCCATCCCACCGTGTTTGGTCTTCATCAGCCGCATGAGCTATCTCTCAATGGCGTGTTCCCCACAATACCTCCAGATGACGACAAACGTCCATCGGTATTATTTTTTAGCGTAAGCGATCGCAAGATAATAGATATTATGTCAAGGGGATGATCAAGCAGTAGGTGTGCATTTGCAGTGAGCTCGTCCTTCAAAATCTTTGCACAGACGACGACAACACATGACAAAGATCAACCACATCTTCAAAAAATCGCCATGATTATGATGAAATAATGTTCTACCTACATGCTGAAGGGCTTTGGTACTCTCCAAATCCAAAACAAGGCCACACATGAGTTGAGTCCTCTATTAAAATCTTAACTACGACACACTATAGCAATAGGACTCCAAAAGGCTTGCGAAAACACGCCATAGAAAGCCTTGATAAGTCAATCAAGGTTAAAGGCTCATTCATATTTTGCCCCGCAACTGATCATAGAATTTGAGAGCTGCTAAGACCTCAGGACCTGATCCACGCCGGCAATAAATCATTGAAATAGCTAGCTGAGAAGCTACTCCCGAGGTTCAGAGTGATGCCTCATGAGTAAATTATATTGATAGACTCTGCAATAAGACTACTTTTATCTCTACTTGACCACATTGAATCAATCAAACGTGCTCCGGTTGAGCATGGACTCCTTGATGACGATGTCACAGATGATATAGTGGTACAAGAGCCAAGAGTTGGTACCATAAAGGTTGTAGTTAAAAGAAGCAAGCAAGTCAAACAAACCTTATGAATATAAATCCAGTGAACTTCAAGAAGACACAAACATTCTATGGTCAAGCAATTTATTCAATCAAAATACAATTCTGGACTTTTCAATATACATGAGTTTGAGAAATTCTTTCCATCCATTGTAACATTTCATCAATCATCAATTGATGTTTTTGATTATCTACTTCATCTCTTCCCACCAGGCAAATAACATGTTTAGTCTTCAATCATCAAGAGAAAAAAACCACATGGGAAATCATGATCATCATGATTGCTTACTTGCAATTCATTGTTTTTGATTGGTCTCCCTACAATCCAAATACTAACAGGTACAGGTCTAGATTTAGTTGAGATGTTAGAAGTACAAGTAAGTACTTGAACTTCTCTCTCTGGATTAATTACATGTGTTCCCAAAGAAAAGGCCCCCTTAAGGGCGTTCTTTGCGACCACTTCTTAATAGATGTAAATTCTACTATTGGTGGTTTGGGGGTATGCCCCGGCTAGAAAGGAGGGATAACCCCGGGAATATACTACTATTCCGGGATAAAAACCTCCTTGCCGGGTTGAGAGCAAAGAAACTGCTAAGGGCTTCTCTTCCCCTAAACTCACGGGGATTTGAGCCGTGAGCCTGAGAAGCCCCAACCCTCAAACCACCGGGGAGCGTAACCGTATCAGTCTTTTTCTGAGACTAACTCGCTCTGAGACTATCCTGAGACAAACAAAAAAGTAAACCGGATGGTGGCTTTTTGTACACTGTCTGTACAGGCTGGTGGCAACTGGTACATATGTATGAAGACTTGAACAAATTCATCATTAAGACTTCAAAGAAGCTGTTAACACTTCGATAACCTCATCAAGAATCAAGAACCTTTGTCGAGTCATCCATGTGCACCTTATATCTATACCTTCAGACTCACTCCAATCCCCCTGAAACATTGTCAAGGGGGTTCTATCGCTACAACCACTTACATATCAAAGTATTGATAATGAAGCAACTTACAAAACAACAAAATGTTATTGGAACAAGCTACTTTGAATGAAAGTAGCAAGCAAAACCGATACAAGAAAAACAATGCATTGTCATCGGAGCGAGATACTTTGATGTAAGAGGTTTCTATCTGTTGCGTTGTCTTGATTTCTTCAAAAACGACTCAGTCGCCATCTTTTCAAACTGTCTCTTTGTATGTATAATCTTCACGAAAAGGACTCGATATCACTTCTTTTCAACCAACCTAAAATGCTTCCAACTTCTGCTTTTCAAGACATCTCATTTTGCATTTTATCAACTCGATCGTCTTTTGTATGTATTATTTTTGACCAATGAAATTGACCAATGGATGTCTAGATGTTCTGTAGTTGGTGGAAGGCTTATAAAGAGAAGGAAGCGCCATGCGAAAAAAAACGCGCCACACAGACCGGGATTGAACTATACCTGTATGTCTCACTGCTTCTCTCAGGTAGTCTCAGAGAAAGACTGATACCGCATCTCTCCCAACCACCGTAGAGTTCAACTACCCCAAACTTTAAAGTAAAAAAGGGACTGATTGAATTTACACTATCCGAAGGTACTAGAAGATCTCTTCTCAAACCAAGCCTCTTTGGACGATCAGTGCATTACAGCACGGTTCTATTTCTTACAATCATTTCGACCAAATCAGATCCTTCAACAACTTCTTAGTTTTCAACAATTCTTTCTCAGAATATTTCCGTAGATAGATTTTATATGAGTTTGAAGCCCAACGGCCACACTTCTTGATCTCTTCTTTATTGGCACCCAGATTCCATCGAAGTGAAGCGCCTCCTATGCGGAATGAGCGCCCATGCAACAACTGATCCTTCTTTGAACGACGAGAATTCCAAACATCTCTAAAGTGGGTTATTGTCTCTAGTTTCCCTAAACGTCTCTTCTTTCCTTTGATGCTGATCGAGAATATTTCATCATTAGGTTTCCTATCTTTGAAATGAAACCACTCTTCCAAGGCCGTGACTGGATCTAACAAAGATTCTTGGCTAAATAGCTTGATGAATTGTAATTCACCTGGCCGAGCCGTCTTAGCATTATGGATTGCTATCTCTACACATGACCGATCGTCATTCCACCTTAAGTCATTCCATTTTGGCATCACTTTCTTGGAGTCGTCGGAAATTAATTCTCATAACCTGGCTGTTCCCCAGAAGCACACTAGTGCTACCGTCAACATCGCTAGTCCTAATTCTCCTTCTTTCGGTAACTCTTCCAATAAAATTACCAGATCCGAAATTAGTACCGGTGGCCTTTTCGTATCTACCTCGACCAATTCAGCTTCAATCATTTTCGAGGCCTTCAACAGAGCTTTTACTGCCCCATCTGTTTGCGATGGATATTCTTCATCATGGTATAAATGCCATGCTTTGATTCCTGCCAAGTATGACTTCAAGGTTGTATGTTTCACCGACTCGTCATCTACTGCTTTCTCGACATCTTTCTTCGAAGCCCAGACCACGAAAAGTTTCAACACCGTCAGAGAAATCGGGAGAAGATCTACTTTTTGAATGTTTTTCACAACCGCAAATCGATGCAACTTTACGATCCCTGAATTGTAGCTCTTCAACGTTCCATCGCCCCAAGCTCCTCTCAAATAATGTTGTTTAATCTTGTCTACATCTGAATTGTCTATTCCCAACGCGTTTTTCTTGAAAGCTCCAAACGGCTTCGTAAGCTTCTTTAAATTTAAATTGTGTACGTCTTTCACTTGCTGCTTCTTTCTCATGACCACTTTCTACAAATCTAAAAGGACTTGCTGTGGATTTTTTCAGAACTCGGCTCCTATTTTCTTTGGATGTGTCTTCGGCGGGAATACTTGCTTCAGAAGATGTTCTAAATCCCTAGGAACTTCTACTATCACTTCTCTAAACCACAACAGGTCGCCTAAATACCCCCTAGAGAGAGCATCTGCGACATTTCCTTTCGATGTAACACGTTTCGCTTGGATGTCACAGGCTAAGACTGTAAGTAGCCTTTGAATGGCTTTCCACTCTTCATTTACCAACTTGTCTTTAGAGCGTCTCTTCCTCACAGTTGATTGTGACGTGGTGTTATCAGTCCAAACCGCAAGTTTTAATCCTATCGCAGGGAATAGAGCATCAGAAACATTGTTCACATGACTCATGGCTACTGCTTACCTGCTATCCGCTTGACTTTCTGTAGCACCAAGAGCCCCAGTCTAATAGCAACCGTCTCTGCCCACGCTATCATGCGCTTGTCTCCTATCAAGCCTAGAGTCTGCCAGCCTTGGGTGAATTTGAAGCAAGCCCAACTTTCTCCGATCAACACTCCTATCCCAAAGGATGAAGAAGCATCTCCAACCCATTACACTTCTATGGCTTTCGGAGAAGGAATTATTTGCCGTGAGTTAAAATTTTTAAGGACTCAATACCACTCTTGAACATCAGATTTAACACTATCTGACGTATATCGTAAGGCGGCCTTATTCCTCCAAGATTTCATCCACCTGTAGAAAGAGTTTAGATACGCTTTCATATGCGGCACTATGTGCACAGTGTGCACTAGTTTCCCCACTATACTTTCAACTTTGTTGAAAGCCCACTTCGTCGTTGGGTTCATCAAATCTATAATGATTTGCAGTCTCTCCCGCAACTTTTCTTCAGGTAGCCGTATGGTGTGATTGTGGCCGTTCCAGATAAAACCAACGAATTTCTGTTCTGTTGCAAACTTGTGGTTTTTCACCGGGTTCGTCATTACACCTAAAGTATTGCTTATGTTTGTAACATCTTCTAACGAGACTTTCTGTCCTGGTCTTTGAAACATGAGATTGTCGTCTACCCACCGGAAGATGACAATCTCTAAAAGACGTTCTATCACTTGTTTCCAAACATGAGCTGGTGCCCCAAAGACTCCACAACTTGCTAGTCTGCCAAACCCAACGGCTAAATCTACCCAAATACGATTATAGAAGTCCAGGATGCAGAGGAACCGATGTTGACAAGGGTGGATAGGTAATTGTCTATAAGCTTTCCTCCAATCGAATATTGCCACATCCCATTCTCCCGGGTTATCTTGGAAGAATCCAGCTACCACATTGAAATCATCCCAGTAAGTCCCGTAATTCAGCTTGTTTACAAATGAATTTACTGATGGGTAACCTTCCCCTTCTCTTGGAAAAGAGAGGTCATTTACCATTCTAATCGATCTGTCGCTGTTGACGGCACTTCCCATCGGATTTGTTTGAAAGAAACCAAATTTCTCATACACTTGTTCATGTGTGAACGGGCCTACGATTCTTCCAGCTTCGAATTCTTTCCTCAAAGTTGCCTCAATCTGAGTCCTTGCTTCTAATGCCAATTTATGGTTCTCTGGTGTATACCACCTCAACCCCGGAATATCATGTTGTGGTATGCCCAGACAAAAGCCTTCCTCGAACCCATTTACAATATAAGGTATGTCACCATCTAACTTGACTTCTTTCATCAAGGCGACCCACTCTTTCACGTTCATTTTACAAGCAACTGGTGTCGGCCAAGGATCAAGGACTGGAACTATGAAGATCTTTCGCTGACTTAGAGGGATCGGAACTTTCCGACAGCTTCTGTCGTCCTCCTCTAATTCCTCTTCTGAACTAGAATCTTCCACTTCAACCTCATCATCTACTTGAGTCTTCAAATCGGCAACTCCACTAAGATCTCTCAAATCTTCAGCTGGTAATTGATCTCTCAACTGATCATTTTGCGGCTCGTCTTCACCTATGGTTCTATAAAGCGCACTAACAATCATAACCAATTTATTTCAGAACAACGTCCTCATCACTGATTACAACTATCAGACTTCTAAGCACTAACACGATGGAGATTTAGATGCCCATAATAGAAAAAAGAATTTTCCCAAGCCAAATCCAACCCCACCTGACCACCACCAAAATCCGCCCCGAGTCAAACCCCAAATAACCAATATTTGTCAGCGACAGATCACTACTTCAATCTTTGAAACTAGAGTCAACTCACGCAGGTTGGTTCTCTTCTTGGGTAGGGGCCTTTGTGGCTTGCTTCGGTCCTTTATAAGTGTAATTTGACCTATATGACGTTGAAGCTACTGGAGCCACTGCTGCAGTCGTGGTCGTGTTGTCTAAACAGAACCACCATCAGTCTAGAATCTCAACTTCTCAACTCCTTTCCAGAGAAGGGGTCACTCACCATTACGATTCGAATAAAATTTATTCTTCTTCACGTAAGGTTTCTTGTTACCACCCCTCTTTCCTCTGAAAGTCGACACTGATTGAAACTTTTCCTCTGACTGTTTCTCTACAGCTTTTGGTGTCGCAGGTTCTACTTTTGGTCTTCCTGTTGTGAAGCTGAAACCATACTTCGGACCTCCTACTGCGTATGGGTTGTCCTCAAACTGGAGGTCGCCGGCTCTATCAGCAAAGAACTTAGCATCTGCCTCGACTTTTGCTTGTAAACCGTTTGGCAACCTGACTTTGTCCTTGTACACTGCTTTGCCGTTCACTTTTGTCTTAATCAATTTCCGGCGACAAAAGATCACAGTTCTAATTGCTAAATGATAACGCAAACCAACCATCCAACATAGGTACTTCTTTTTCAAATTTGAAACTATCTGTTTGTGTTTCACGATATAGTCTGCATAGGTGTCCAATTGATAGATCTCTCTAGCATATTGTTCTTCTCAATCACACATTTCTACAAAGTCACCAAAGGTAATCTGCTTCTCTAAGGCCTTCTGCAAATATTTCGACTTTTCATGTTTCTCTTTCGTCTTCTCATCATCATCATCATTGTTATACGTATCCAAAAAGGACTTCTTGAAAACAGATAGTGGAACATAAGCTCTAAGTCTTTTAAATCCCTTGTCCCACTTCCTGGGCAAGTCGGGAAGATCTGCTGAATCAAAATCTAACAAATCATAACCCAGTTCTGCTTTCTTCACTTTCTCTGACTCGTCTGAGCTAGACTCTTCTTCCAAGGATGATTTCTCTGAATCTGATTCCGATTGATCTGATGGAGGACTTTGAGACTTTCTCTTCTTAGATTTTCTTTTCTTTTTCTTCTTTTTCTTAGAAGCACCTGAATCGTCAGAGGACAAAGATGAGTCATCACTCGGCATCTCTTTCTTCTTGGATTTCTTCTTCTTTGGTCGCTTCCTAGATTTCGAAGTATCCGAATCACTCGAAGCAGAATCAATGTCCGAACCATCGCGTTTTGACTTATTGTTTTTCACCAGGCCTTCTTCCTCTACATGGCTTTTATGTTCTACCACAGCTTTGGAGCCTGAAATAGCTGCTAACAGATGGCTCGAGTCATCCACAAGATTTCTGGAGGTTGTTTCTGGATTTGGACCTGGTCAGTCGTAATCCATTGACACCATTGCACCAAACTGGTCGTTGAAACTATTGACCAATCTTCGGGCTGTTGGTCCATCCTTAGCATCCAAAGCTTGTGTCAGCGCTTCCAGGATTGCTCGGCTGCCGGTACCTGGAGCACTCGAATCATGATTGAATTGCCTGAAAGCTGGGTCAAACAAACGAAACAAAAACATTTCCCTTTTGTAAGTTTTTTAACATTCTATCAGAATTATTGTTATTATATAGATTTCCAACAAAAAAGGACGATTCTCCATAGATTCTCCGGAACAGATTTCTAAAGAAGAACCGATCAAGGCTTTGCCTCCTCAGCACACATTGCGAGGTAAAGGGTTCTTCTCTTCGGTCCGCTTAGCTTGCCAACTTTTCCGATTGGTCTTACTGACTAACATCTATCTCCTTTAGAGCGCATCAGCAGCATCTATTTGCGCGTCTACCTGCAATCCTTGTCTCACAAGACTTCTCTCTCAACCGGCGCTTCTAGCAGCCCAGAGCATGGATAACAAGTAGTGACTTACGGCGCTTCAGCAGCCTGCATCATACTCCACAATTTGTATCTCTATTTAAGGCGCCGCAGGCAGCCCAGACACTTCTTTTAAAGGTACATGGAATTATATCACGAGACCAAAAGAACCAAGAAAACAGGAACAAATCGAAATGAAGGAATGAAAGAAAACAATGCTTTAACACACCCTCTATCGGTACACCTTCTACCAATTTCACAGGGCCTTTCCCCTTCTTCGATTCTTCTAACTGACGTCTTTCTGCTTCTCTTCTCAACTCTATCTTCTCTAATTCCATCCTCTTGACTTCGTTTGGCTTGACATCCGCAGTGTCAGATTCCGGATTGTCGAGTTCCTCGTCATCTTCTACATCAGCTCCACCATCTCTCTGGTCTTCATGAGGTTCATGACAGTTGCTACAAAGATCCTGGAGGCTTCCTTGCTCCTTTGACTTTGGTCCTCTGGAAAGTGCTCTCTTCTGACGTTCCTCAGCTTGCTCTTTCTCCTTTGCTAACTTGGCTGACTTTTTCTCTTCTTCTTGTTTAGACATTGACACCATTTCTTGACGATAAATCTTGTCTTCTATTAACTTTTCCTTAACACTTCTATTCATCAAAGAAACTTGTAAAGAATTTGATTTAGCGTTGTCGAATAAGAAGAGGGGTATGTCAATGAGAGAAATAAGATCAAGTCTGTGAAAAAAATTCCTAATAAAACGATAAGACTTTTTATGAGGAAATTGAGAGTGTTCCCAAAGCCTGAGACGGTACACATTAGTCCATTTCAGGAGAAGACGTGTAAGTGGCAGGAGTATGGGGTGTCACGGACACATAACCAGGTGTTACCACATACAGTGGTCCGTGACAGTTAGATTGTGGTAGAACGAGAGGAAATTTCAAACTTCCGTCTGTACTCGCTCTACCTCACTCTCTCACCCCATCATATTCACTCCTTACAACTTTTCTCACGATCTCTGCAGACTCTCAAGGGCTTTAAGCTCTTTTAATTTTGCGTTTTTTATTCCATCCTGGATGGGATTTAGAGTTGAGAAGTCTAACAAATCATTCCTACCGCAGTTAAGAGATCATCGCAGAAGGCTAGCAGCTCGTCAACATTCCGAAAGACAAGAGGCCTCAAGGAGGAGAATACAAGAACAAGTAGAAGAGAGAAACAGAAGAGCAGCATCTCGAACCCCGAATCTAGCCCTACCTCTTCCTACATTGGCAAATAATCAACGATTGATGAACGATATCGACGGCGACGAAATTTCGAGCCAAAATTCTACAGAGTCAATTATTCCATCTGAATCTGCTTCGAGAAAGAAGACACTTTCGTCAATTTCTTTCAAGAAAATGACGGTTCAAACTCCGGGGGGTTCAGGTTCGAGTTCTAACAACGCTGGGGCTAACCCATCTGGGACAGGCCAGAATGGAGAAAACAGTCAGAGTTTTAGGTCGGACCTAATTGAGAAAGACTCTTGTAAGTTAAAGATCATACCGTAGTCATCATTCCCACGAATATTTCAAATTCCTTCAGATTCCTCCCTCATCATATCATCATCAAAGGTCCTTGCCTACGGGAACAAGTCCAAATAAATCCCGTATTACGTGTGTCGTCTGTCAACTTGTTGACAGGCGGGGAACAGTCCTGAAGGTCTGAACGTAGGGTCCGCTAGCTCCAAGGTTTTACTCTTGTTTAAGAGCGTATAGCAGGGGGACGGGAAGGAGAAGTTTCCAGCTCCAAGACGAAAGTCTTGTTTAATGAGCGTAAAGTTGGCTATTTGATTAAGCTCCAAGTGAAATATCTTGTGTAAGAGCGTAGATCCGAGGAAACTTGTTGATTGGGAGATTAGATCAAAAAATCTATAATGTTCTCAACAAACATCATTGTCAGATGGTAGTCATAGTTAATCAGATACTGATTTACGTACTGGTTTCTAAAATCATAGATCCAGGAGGTGTGGGCGCATCAGCGAGATCCCAACCGCCACCCTCAACAATCAATGGTCTGGCAAATCCGGCTCCGCCGACATCTTCGAACAATGGCGTATCTGGCCAATTAGCTCCACCAGCTTCTTCAGCCACGGTTCCTACCTCCACTCCTACTCCTCAAGTTGTGGAAAAAGCAGCTGCTCCGATACAAGTCCAACCTTCTACCGCAGAAGCTGAACAGACCCAGGTTCTTTCGAAGAAAGACAAGAAACTGGCCAAAAAGGCGGCTAAGAAAGAGGAGAAGAGAGTAGAGAAGAAGGCTGCAAAAGAGGCAAAGAAAGCCAAAAAGTTGGGGAAAGAAGAGAAGAAGCTGACGGGTAAAATCGTGACTGAAGCGGAAAAAGGGAAGAAAAAGTCAGTTAAGAAACTCATTATCAAGTTTGAAAAGAAATTTGGAAGTTTTGATAAGAAAGGAAAAGAAATAGATGAGAAACTGGCGGCTAAGGCTGGGAAAGAAAAAGAAGGAAAGCTGAGGAAAGAGAAGAAAAGATCCAAAAGGAAAAGAAAGAAATCTTCGTCTTCCTCAAGTTCTTCCTCATCAAGCTCCAGCTCGAGCTCAGATTCCGATACGTCATCTTCTTCATCCTCATCCTCGGATTCCTCCGTGTCTTCGGATAGCTCTAGCTCGTCGTCTTCAGACTCAGACTCTTCTTCGTCAAGCTCCTCGTCATCATCAGGATTGTCTAGCTCTTCCAGCAGTTCCTCAAGCGATGACAACAGATATAATCGGGCAAACCACCTCCCGGATCTCCCGAAGAAGTGGGCAAAGAGCTTCAGGAAGTTGAATTCTTACGTCCCGTTATCGGTTTTTAGAAGATCTTATATCAAAAGCTTTCGTTCAGCCGATCTAAAGAAAAAGAAATCCTCTAATTATCACAACTCATTCAATACAGAGCTAGACAGAGAGAGACAATTTACTCACGGGGAATCCATCCAAGCGTGTAATCTGGAGGCGAGATACGCCAAAGAGATTTATGGTTTGAAGAAATACCATAAATATATCTTGAAGCACGTGAAGATTGTTGAAAAGATCAAAGAGCGGAACAAGTGTTGGTTAGTAGCTCTAAGATATCATCTGGCGATAAGACTGGAAATCTTCCGTGATAACTCAAACCGTAAAGGAGGAAAGAAGAAACACGGGAAAAAGAAGTCCTTCCCAAAGGGTCGGGAAAAACGGGTCGAACATGAGGCGAGGTGGGATACTGAGGCAGCTGGAGAATGAGCAAATGTCTACTGTGGTAGACCAGTCTCGAAAGAGACTTAAGTTTCTTATCTTTGTATTTTACATAGTAATGTAAACAAAACTACATGTGAGATAACTATATGTTAAACATGTACAGAAATCAGAGTCCAAGATCCTGAGTCACACGCATTAGACTGAAATGGAGAGGAGAGTTAGGTGTCTATTGAGAGTAACCCTGAAGTGGACGAATTCAAGCGTGAGGAAAAATTTTTCCTCTTTCGACTTGAGAAGAAAAACGCCACTACCTAGTGGTTACGCTACCCGAGCACAGTCTCGGGTCGCGGGTAATCTAACATTTTATGCACACAACCTTTTTTGGCCTTGAATCACAAAATCAGCACATCAATTATAAGGATTTCAAAAAGCAGTGTTATCTTCCCTGAAATCAACACATACTCACATTGGATACTGATCATGGTTTGGTTAGCCATCAATATTGAACCAATACAAAACAGTCAACCCATGTAAACACACTCACATTCTAAATCATCTTGCTAAACACTTCAAATCATTATTAATATTCAC